CAAATGAAGTCCAGTTTTTGTATTAAACGTCCCAACATTTCTCAGTCGGGTCATCTGGAGTTTCTTTTTATGCTGAAACGTTTCACCTTCGATCCAGAAGGCTTCATCAGTCAAGGAAACGCACAAACATTCCTTCCCCAACAGCTTACTCCAAAGTGGAACAAGCCACAAGCAGAACTGGTTTGTTCCACTTTGGGGAAAAATCAGTTGTGTTTCCTCGACTGATGAAGCCTTCTGGATCGAAGGTGAAACGTTTCAGCACCAAAAAATGAACAGTCCAGATGACCCGACTGAAAAATGTTGGATTGTATACCTGGATTATTGAGAAAGGACTTCATGGTTCACTGAAAGCAAGAAAAAGTACAAGCTTTAAAAAAATAGAATGTTAAAAAAAAAAAAAAAATTAAATTAAGCTCATGATCTGGTTTCCACTTCTATTTTACCCCCCAGAGAAGAGGACTAAAGTAGGTAATTTTACTAATAGTCATTTGAAATAGTATTTCAAAGTCATAAAGCATTTGTGAGCTACTTTAAAACAAAAACTTCACATCTGCACAGAACAGATGTTTTTATTAACCTTTATTTCTACATCTAAATTCCTTTGAGCCTCAAGGATTCATTTATAAGAGAGACCTGATTTAACAAAGAATGATGACAACAATGGACAACAGCAACAACAATAGTTACAAAAAAAGCATACTAGTTTTATTTTTTTTTATAACAAATAGGATGGCTAAAAGTAAAAGCAGATTCTAAGATATGAGCTGTATCAAAATATTTCAAATCTTTATACATTAAATTCAGACACTCATTTAATAATTTCATACTAAACCCTGACCCAGAAGAAGTGAAAAGGCAGAAGAACTTCTCTTCAGAGGAGGTGGTGGCTCTGAGAAGAGCCTTTGTGTTGGTGGCGGACTGCGCAGCTTTACTTGGAGCTGGTGTACTTGGTGACGGCCTTGGTGCCCTCGGACACGGCGTGCTTGGCCAGCTCTCCGGGCAGCAGGAGGCGCACAGCGGTCTGGATCTCCCTGGAGGTGATGGTGGAGCGCTTGTTGTAGTGAGCCAGGCGGGAGGCCTCGGAGGCGATGCGCTCAAAGATGTCGTTCACGAACGAGTTCATGATGCTCATGGCCTTGGAGGAGATGCCGGTGTCAGGGTGAACCTGCTTCAGCACCTTGTACACGTAGATGGCGTAGCTCTCCTTCCTGGTCTTCCTCCTCTTCTTGCCTCCCTTGCCGGCCGTCTTAGTCACGGCTTTCTTGGAGCCCTTCTTGGGCGCAGACTTGGCGGGTTCAGGCATGTTTCTTTGTTCGAGAAAACGAATGAATCCCGCAGTGAAGAAAAGTGTTTTAAATACAGGCTGCATGTAAATAACGCTGCGCTGTCCCTTCGCTGTGATTGGTCGAACGTGTTGAGTGGGACGTACCTGGGCGGGACCCTATGTGACTCAGCGTTTTCATTTTTTTACTCTGGATTTCAAGTTTTCACTTCATGTTTTATTGTTTTTTGTGTTTTATAAAACCGTTGGGCACCGCAAACGTTCAATAAATTAAACTATTATTTATAATATTAACTTCTATCAAGATTCAAGAACATTCAATTTTTGCATGTTAGTCTCACTGAGACTCGTTGACTCATTTACAAGAGACCTTTTTAAACAAAGAATGATTACAACAGTAGACCATCTTAAAAGAAGGCTTATAAATTAAAAACATAAGTAGAAGAAAATGATGTATAAAAACAGCTACATTATAAAGTGATATAAAATATAAAATACAGGAACATGCCTGTGTTGGATTTTGCCATGAACTTCATGTTTGAAGCCACGAAGGTCGAGAGCTTCAAAACATGAATGTCGGCAGTTTAGACATCTTGAAAGTGAACTAAGCAAAATTATGCGTATATAATAATAAAATTTATCTTTGGGTCTGTTAGCAAAAGTTGGACTGGACCATGTGGACAGAATAATCACAGGTTGAACGTGATGGAGTCAACCTGGTTCAAGATGGCCGCCACAACAAATTGACCAAAGACTAAAATGAAAACGCCTAAATCAAGTTTGTAGATACATTTTGTGTGGTAGTAGCTGAGGCTGATCCCCAACACGTACTCTGAGCTCTGACTGGCCAACATCTAAATTTAACTTTCAACCCCGTGCGTCTGTTAGCAAAATATCCTATGAACCAGTGATGTTTTAAAAAAATCAGAAAGGCAGAGATTAGTTCGTCATCAAGACACAAACCTCTGGCGGATCCTCAGGTCCTGACGACAGAAATGTTTTGTCTCATTAAACAGTTTTAGGAGATCAACTGCCCCTTGTTCTGGAGCAGCTGTGCATCTTCTTGAAGAGCTTTTGATTTGGGTGGTGCAGGCAGGGGCGCCACCAAGGAGGGGACACGGGGGGCCATTACCACCCCTAAAATACCCGCTCTCCACTGAACATTGATTTTGAACGATTAAGATTTAAAACCCAAACGTGTCGTCCCCATGAAAAAGGACAACTGGTCTACAGCCGCTGTCCTTTACGTCGAGACGCGTCTCAGGTTAGATCTTTTTATGAAGATACTTGTAGAACACGAGCTTCAGGAAGTCGAGCAGAGAGACGGTTTCTGAAACTAATGACACAAAAAAGCAACAACAGTAAAAGTTTGAGGTAAAGTTAGTTTTGGATGTTTATAAAACTTGTTTTTGTTCACAAACTGCACAGAAACGATCAAATCAAAGTGTTTCTGAATAATCAGCTTTAAACTTCAGAATGCTCGTTTCTAGTCGATCGTTCAAGTCGTACATTTGACTTGATGTGACGACGGCTCAGGTACAGAACCGGTTAAAACATGTGGCTCTCCAGATGTTCTGCTCTCTGAACGTCACAGTGAAATCAGCTGTAAAACATCACACATCTGATCTTTAAACTTTGAATTGACAAGGGTTCAAATCACCGTTTCACAACAGAAACTCATTTGGAGCCACCCTAGTATTTTCGGTGGGCCCCACGAGAACATTTCTGGAGGCGCCCCTGGGGGTGGGGGGGCTGGGACAGTTTTGTCCAGTGATGCAGCTGCAGATGTTTTTAACGGAGCGTCTGGAAATTTCTCCTGATGTGTGGGGAGTTCCTGTCAGCGCTCGGGTGTCGTGATGTTCTCCCAGGTGAGGACGGAGACACTCCCCTCAACAGCCTCAAGATGGCCGCCGCAGCTAATGAACGAAACAAGAAACAGCTTCGACTCCGAGCTAAAGTTTGATGAAGCCGAGAGTCAAAGACTTCTGGAGGTTTAACTGAACTCATCGTGCAGACGTGTCACAGCCACGTCCTCTGAAACGGAACCAACAAAATCATTTCAACGGTTTTTATTTTACTTTTCTCAGATTATTCTAAAACAACAAAACTTAACTTTAAACATTTATTCGCTTCACAAACATCTGGTTGAATGAAAACTGGATTCAGTAAATCATAAATGTGCAACGTTGCTGGACCCAAACACTCAGGATCTAAATTCTGGAGCAGCTGTGAAACATCTGGATGAACTGGGAGCTCCAGCTGTTCAGGTTTAATCTAAAACAAATTGTTTTTTAACCATAAAGTAAAAATTTCAACTGAAAACAAATGGAACCATTTGGGTACGGAAGCCTGGCAGGGACAAGCCGGTCCCGGAGTCTAGATGGTTTCTCTGACCCGACCCAGGTTTTGGTGGAGGGGTCCGATTCACCTCTGGCTCAGCTGCCGGTACAGCTGGATGGTCAAGACCTGGACCTCTGGGTCTCCTGGTTGGAGGTCGATGGCTCGGAGGAAGAAGCTCAGGGCGTCGTCCAGCTTGGCCCGGTTGTAGCACTCCTTCCCCCGTCGGACCAGGAAGTCGTAGCTCTCGGGCTCGGCGCTCGACTCGGCGGCGCAGCGGTCCATCGTCTCGCCGGAGGCCAGCTCGGGGTCCCCGCTCGATTCCTCCAGGCTGAAGCTCCCGTTTTCCTCCTCCTCTTCCTCAGAGTTTAAAGTCTCTCTTGTCACTTTAAACCCTGAAACAGAGTCAGCCTCACCTTCCTCATCATCTTCCTCCTGATGGTCCATGTCCTCAATGATGGAGTGGAGGAGGGACCTGCGGGACACCACCGAGATGTTTCCACCTACACTCTTCCTCGACCGGCGAGGAGGCGAAGACGACTTTGGAGTGGAGGCTCCAAGAACCTGAAGCGATTCGTCGAGCGGACACTTCTGCTGCTCTTCATCGCTGTCGTAAATCACCGCCACTCTCCTTTTCTTCTTCTTCTTGGTGGTGATGACGGACTCGTCCACGGACTCGTCCACGGACTTGTTCATGGACTCGTCCACGGACTCGTTCATGGACTCGTCCACGGACTCGTTCATGGACTCGTCCACGCCTGAAGCTCGGTGGTGCCGACTCTCTGACAGAGACCTGCCCACGTCAAAGCTGCCGTTCATCTGAAGCTGCAGCAGAAGCTTCTGCTCCTCCTCCTCAGTCTCCTGGTCCATCAGAACCTCCTGGTCCTCAGTCTCCTGGTCCATCAGAACCTCCTGGTCCTCCAGAACCTCCCGCTCCTCCAGAACCTCGATGCTGTCATCCAGCTGTAAATTAAAGTTGCAGTTCAAAGAATCGAGCCCGGCACTCACTCTGGAGGTTTCTGATCTGAAGCTGGACTGTTGGAGAACAGAAGCGGTTCTGTTCTGCAGCGGGCTGAGGTTCGTCAAGTCCACTACAGACTGAGCGGTTCTGTTGGGTCCGTCGTGGTCATCAGCTGTAAGCTGCAGGCTGCTGTTGTGTCCTGAAGGTTTGTCCAGCGGGTCAGAAACGTTCACGGACTCCAGCTGAGAGGCGTCCGCCGTTGGATCGTTGACGGCGTCGTTTAGATCCTGTGGGCCGTTCTCGGCTCCAGAACCAGAGCGGTCCAGATCCACCGCAGCAGGTGACGTGTTGAAGCGGTGGGTCTGAGGAGGCGGAGGAGCCGGTTTAGGATTTCTGGGTTTCCTCTCTGTGCTGCTGGTGCCGGGCGGTGGTCTGAGCCAGGCTGGTTCTGTGTTCAGCGTCACGCTCTCTGTGATCTGCATCTGCAGGAAAACAAACATTTACAAACCGATGAAAAACACAAACGTCTCTGCAGGTCCGGTCCGGTCCGAACACAAACTGCAGAGCCAATCAGAAATAAACAGAAAGTTACAAATAAATTCAACTTTAGCAAATTCTGAAACAGTTCATGTCTCAGTTAAAGACAGAAAAAAAACTATTGAGAAAATTTGTCCAAATTCAAGTGAAACCAGTGAACAGAAGCTCGAGGCCGGTACCTTTGGAGATATTTAGCGCTTATGTTATTTTAGCTGTTCATAGAGAAGACATTCGGCTCATTCAGGAGATGGCTGCTGCGACTTTTAGTTTTTATAACTTTTATACTTTTCAAAATATTTACCTTCATTTATAAATATTTTCCCAAACAAATACATGAAGTTCCTTCAAAAACATCTTTATCTTTAAAATCTGCTTTAGCTACTGGTTGTTGCCACGTTACCAACAGCGTTCGGCTACTTTTTTCTTCTGGCTAGCTTTTTGCCACCGTTCTGCTACTTTTAGCTTGTTTAAACAGCCATTTGCTGCATTTACCGTACTTTCTGCCGTGCACGTCGCCTCGCCCTATAACTCGCATCTATTCTGCGTCATCGCTGACAACACGGAAATGTGTGCCGGTGTTGTGCCAAAAATTGATTGGACACCAAATGGAGGCCGCGGGAGCGTGCACGGGGAGACTTTAACAAGAATTTAACAAGATTAACACTTAAAAACAATTATCTGTTTTTATTTATTATATACTTTATTATAGTAACGGCGTGTCTTAGTTGAATTTTTACTTAATTAATTAAATTCAATGGTCAAGTCGGCTGCATGTCTCTGGGGCGGTAGAGAAATGAAGATGATGTGACGGTTGCTCCAGGCGAGCTGACGAAGGTGGCAGCTATGGCAAGCTGATTGTGTCATTAATAACCACCTTAACCTATTACATGACACAACAGCGTGCCATACTAAAGTGCCATCTAGTGGCTGAAAATGGTAATGTTCAATGTTTTCAGTCAGAATGAATGAAAAGGTTTTATCTCAGACAAAACTTAGTTTATAAATATGGGAAAAACATAAATACGTTGCTTCGGCGTGTAAGTCGCAGGGCAGGAAAATTACGCAAAAAAACGCGACTTATACAGCGTAAAATACGGTACTTAACCTTTTGCTGTTTAGCTACACTTTCCTTAATTTTACACTTCAGCAAGTTGTTGCTGCGTTTAGCTTTCAGTTCGTCTTTTGCTAATTTGAGGTTGTCGCTTGTTTTCTGCTTCTTTTATCTTCAACAACTCACTTCCAGCGTTCCCACTGCACCTCCACAGAAACCACAAAGTCTAGCCTGAACAGATTTAAATAGAGTATAAACAAAAGTAAAATAAAATGTGAAAGACCTTCATAAGGTCTGGAGATTACAGGTACGTCTGGATCACTGGGAGGAAAAGTGTTGGACTGGTTTGTAAAACTGTCTGGTTTTGGACCCACCTGCAGCTCAGACTCGGCCCTCATCAGCTCCTGGGCCTTCTGGACCCGCCCTTCGATGTACTGATGCTCCTCCTGATTCTCTGGACCTTCGTCGTGGTGGACGTCGAGGGAGAACATGAGGTCGTGGTCAGATATGCCAAACATGTCCAGGGTGTGGAGGTGGGCGATGTGCTCGTCCAGCTCCGGGTCGGTTTGTCGGTGCCGGGTGTGTAGAGCCTGCAGCTGCAGCTGGGTGGACGAAGACCGCGTGTCCTCCAGGAGGAAGAGCTCCTTTAGTTCCTGCCTGCTGAAGTACCGGAACGGGTTCTTCTTGTCCCCGGTGTTCTGTCGGATCAGAGAGTCTTTGAAAACCTGGCGCCTGTAGATCTTCTCCTCCACCGTGCTGCAGGTGATCAGCCGGTAGATGACGACGTTCTCCGTCTGTCCGATGCGGTACGCTCTGTCGACAGCCTGGGCGTCGGTCGCTGGGTTCCAGCTCGGGTCATAGATGACCACTCGGTCCGCTGCCGTCAGGGTGATGCCGACTCCACCGACCTGAGTGGTGAGGAGGAAGACGGAGTAACGCTTGTCAGTCTGGAAGCGAGAGATGAGCTTCTCTCGTTCTGCGATTTGTGCGATGGTTCCGTCCAGCCGCAGGACTTTGAACCCTCGGTTGCCCAGGATGCGTTCAAGAATGTCGAGCACCTTCCTGTAATGAGCGAAGATGAGCGTCCGGTGGCCTTCGTCTCTGAGCCTTTCCAGAAGAGCCAGCAGAAAGACGAGTTTCCCAGACTCTGATATTAAAGTTGCGTCTGAAACGTTGGCGATGCTGTTGGTGTCACTTTCTGTGGCTTCGCTCGGTGACCCGTCCTCAGGACTCTCCTCCAGGCCCAACTTTGCAATGGCGTTGGCAGAAAGGAGTCTCGGATGGTCGCACAGCTTTTTTAGAATGGTTAATTCGGCCAGGGGAGATCTGGTGGTCATCAGCAGTTCCTTGATGTGGTCCAAGCTGATGAACTGCCTGTAAATGTCCTCCTGAACGGCGCTCAGGTAAGTCCAAACTATCAGATCGTTTTTTCGGGTCAGTTCTGGCATAATTGCTCCAGAGAGGGACTGCTCCTGTGGGATTTGTTCGTTTCTGTAATCTGCCCCGTCCTCTCTTCCATCAGCGTTCTTCTTCTGTACTTCTGATTTAGTCCTACGGAGAAAGTAGGGTTTTATCAAGACCATGAGGTTTTCGGACATCCTGGAACCCAGAGCTTTTTCTCCCGGGGTGGCGTCTCTCTCCCGGGCGCGAGTGATGGGGTTCTCATATTCAGCTTTGAAAGTCTTTGCTGTTCCCAGGAGAGTTCCCTGGCAGGCGAAGTCAAAGAGCGTCCACATCTCCCTCAGGTTGTTCTGGACTGGGGTTCCTGTAAGAAGAACCCTGTTCTTAGAGGGGATCGCGTAGGCACTTTTGGCCGTTTTAGTGGAAGAGTTTTTTATTTTGTGGGCCTCATCCAGGATCATGTAGTCCCAAACAAACTCCTTTCCCTGATAGGAGGCCACCTGCTGCCAGTTGTTCATCAGCATGGTGTAGGTGGTGATGACGACGCCCCCCCTCCTCTGAACCTTCTCCAAACGCCTGGTCCTCTCGGCTCTGCTCGCACCGTGAAACTCCTTTACCCTCATGCCAGGGGTCCATTTGGAGAACTCCTTGATCCAGTTTGTAATGAGGGATGTTGGCATAACGAGAAGCGAATGTTTTACCAGGTCGTTGTCATACATGCCGGAGAGGAACGATATGACCTGGATGGTCTTACCGAGCCCCATGTCGTCCGCCAGAACTCCTCCCTTACGTCCATCTCTGTAGAGGCCGTACAGAAAGGAAACACCATCTCTCTGATAGTTGTAAAGTTTGTCATAAAGTTCTCTGAACAGCATCAAACCACTGTTGTTCACATTTACAAACTCATCATCCTCATCCTCCAAGTTCGTCTGAGCCAGGAGTTCTTCGATCTTCTGTATCCTGCCCTCTAGTTTGGGGGTCTGATGAATTTTGTACGCTCGTTTGAAAAGGTCCAGAGCTTTCTGGATGTCCCCTTGTTTGGCAACTTCCTTACCATCTGAAATCAGCCTGAAAGGATAAAACGAGAAAACTCAGTGTCGTAATTCAGACCAGAAATGTCGCGTTTTACTTAGAGAAAATTAGAACCAGCCGTCTTTTTGGACCAAGTTAAGAAACCTGGAAAACAGATTCTGCAAGTTTCAGGAAGTTACATTTAAGATTAGGAGCTTGTAAAGCATCATAATTCAAATTGAAGATTATTTCATATTATAGCTTCAGATTGTTCATCGCTTCATATTGTTCATCGCTTCATATTGTTCATCGCCTCATATTGTTCATCTCTTCATATTGTTCATCACCTCATATTGTTCATCGCCTCATATTGTTCATCGCCTCATATTGTTC